AAGCCTAATAAACCTTCAAGAAATTATCCTTAAGTATTCATATAAAAAATCAGTATACTATCATTTTGCTTTAATGAAAATGCAAGCTTTTTATCCTGAAAATGAAAGTCCACAAAACAGACAAAAATGAGACACACTATATAGCTGATGCTCATTAACAGCACCATGAATGCCCTTCCTCTTAAAAGGGGGAAATTTTCTTGTACTAACTGAAAATGACATGATCAAGAAAAATAAAGAGATAATATAAGCTAAAAAGAGAACATATCTTTAATCTGAAACTGTATTTAAAGAAAGAGTCCAATCATGCAAATGAGGTTTTTTAAATAAGCATAACTGTGATAAACTGAACAAGAGAGATTGGTACATGACAGCAATTGTCACAGAAGGTTCACTCTGACACAAAGCCTTTTTTATGCTATTTTTTAAACTCAAAGACAAAAAAAGGACTTATAGAAGCAAGAGAAAGAGCCTCCAGAAGATGGGGAAATAATTTCCCAGGATATGGAGACCTGCTCCACTTATTAAGCCTTTTCATTGTGAAAAGCCAGCAGGACTGTTAACAGCCACCTTCTCTCCCTGGTGCAGGAGCATACTCTCATTAATGCTAATGAGAGATGTGTGGGCACATCAAAGAATCTGCCTCTTTCATTGTGAAATGAAATTCTCCTGCTGAGTGTGAACCTAACATCACTGAAGAATGTGTCCATGGTTCCTCTTCAGTGAGTTGGGTGCATGCTTTTTTTTTTTAATTATTTTTTTTTAATTTTATGTGTATGAGTGTATTGCCTGCATGTAGGTAGGTGCACCCGTGTCATGCAATACCCGTGGAGGTCAGAAGAGGCTGTCGGATCCCCTGGGACTGGAGTTACAGACAGTTATTAGCCACCATGTGTGTGCTGGGATTTGAACCCTGGTCTTCTGCAAGAACAACCAGTGTTCTTAACCACTGAGCCATCTCTCCAGCCCATGCTGCAGTTAAGACTGACATTTACTGAAGCTAAAATGCTGCATTTCCCTTCTAAATAAAGATTTGCATTAGATTACCTACACAGCTAAATATTACTCCCCCATAGTGTTCTAGCTTTACAGAGAATATATTTCAATGGTGGCTATTTCACAGAGGAGCTCAACTAGAGCTTCCTTGTTCTTCATAAATTATAATAAATCTGACAAACTTACCTTTTTGTCCAATACGCACATGTTCATTTTCAAAAAGTTCTAAAAATATTAAAAGAAAATAAAATTATTGGACACAAATATTATCAACCACACTTAGAATAAGAAGTATTTTTTCCTGGTACTGATTCTTATGAAACAGCATAAGAATTTTTTTGAGACAGGGTCTCAGTGCCTGGGCTGCTCCTGATCTCACTGTGTAGCCTGGACTGGTCTCAAACCCACAGTCTTCTACTCAGGCTTCTAAGTGCTGGGTTTGCAGGCATGCACTGCCATGTTGGCTCTGAAAACCATATGTTTACTGCATGTAGAAAAATCTTTTTCCTAAATTGTTTAAAAGTGAGTTCATGCATTTAATTAGAGAGCAAAAATTGACAAATTAATTTTTCTTAAGACAGAACACATCCTTCTAATAAAAAATATTTCTGTAGATTCAGAAAAAAAATTCAAAGAAGAAATTGTTTTAAAATATCATTTCAGGGGCTGGAGAGATGGGTTCGTGGTTAAGAGTGCTTGGTGGTCAATCACGAGGACTGGTTTGGATCCCAGCACCCACACTGGGTGGCTCACATTCAACTGTAACTGCAGCTGCAAGTGATCCATCGCCTTCTTCTGGCCTCTATGGGCATCTGCACACATATGCACATATACTCAGACACAAATATGCAGAAGCAGACACGAAATTCAAAGAATTATTTTCTTGAAATGATAGTTATTAAAATTTCTTTTAATTTTATTTATGTGCATGTTCTTCTGTGTGTCTGTGCACATATGTGTGTGGGTGCCCACAGAGACCAGAAGAGGACATTAAATTCCTTGGAGCTGGACTTATAGGTGAATATGACTTCATGTATAAAGTTCCATTTCTACTCCAATTTATGACTAAAGTACATCTAATAACTTTGTCTTTGTAGGTAAAATGTCCACTATACAAGTGCTGTTTTAAAATATTTCACTGGAAGCACTGCTTTTTTTTAAAGTATCAGTCATAGAGGAAATAGATTTATTAGCTATAGCATATTAAAATAAACCTCTGTCCACCAAGAAAAAAAAAAGGAAGAGAACATCATTAAGAGAGTGAAAAGTTCAGACATGGAAGGGAAGCATGTAATCTGTAATGTGTACATCTGGCAGAGGTATCCAGAGTACATAAAGAAGTCTGTAGAGAATTAAGCAGAGAACAGCTGGGTTCATGTAAGCAAAGGGCTTGAAAGGTTTTCACACACAAACAAAAAAAGGCAACTTACAAAGAACAATAAATAGGAAAAGCTACCTGACCACATTAGTCATCAGAGAAAAACAGAACCATTACACCATGCATGACCAGCACAATGGTGAAAATGAAAAAGACAGGTAATTTTAGATGCAAAAAACACAGAGCAAATGGACTTCTCATACAAAGTTGGTGAGAGTGTAAACTGGTACAATAACTTTGGAAAACTAGCAATATCTATTAACAATGTTCACATGCATATCATATGATAGCTGCCAGTTCACTGTCAGGGATGTGCCCTAATGTGTACATATATACACCTAAAACCTATGACAGAACATTCACAGCAGGTCTACTGATGACACCAAATGACCATCAACAACACACAAGATACGCAATGGTATTTACATACAATGACCATAATACAAAAATGAAAACAAACAATTTATAATTCTACATAACATTACAAAGCTTACAAACAACATTAAATTGAAGAAACAAGATACAAGTGTATGCACTAAATAACCCAAAAAAGGCCATGTGAACCTATGACGCTTCAAGTCTGTTACTTGGGGTCTATAATTGTGCCTAAGGGGCTTCTATCTATAACAATTCTGTTTCTGAGTGGGTTGGATGCTGCACAAATGTGTTCATGCTGTAATTCATTAATCTGCATACAGATGATCTATGTACTTACAAGTTACCAGTTATCACTAATTATATGCCATTTGGGAAAGACTAACCAGGAGGCACTTGCGTAGAATCATCTATACCCAGTTGTCCCGTATTTAAGCCAAGTTCTACAAAGCATTCTTTCTGAAAAATAACATATGAAGAATTAACATACATCTCAGACTTTGCTCATGTGAAAATATTTTTATCTAAATATCAACTTAAATAAAAATCACAGTGTAAAATAAATCTGTTTCATTAAAATATCTAAAAACGAAAAGGTCAGAATTAGATTCTAAACAGAACAGATCCACTAAGATTAAGGAGCAGAACGACTTCAATTGTTTGCTCAGGTAAGGTGCATATTTATGTGTATCGTTTAACATGGTTATGTGAAATAAACATGAACAGAAAAGACATGATCACTTAGGAAATATTGGTAGACATAATGAGAAAAATGTAAATATACAGTATTTTTTTCAAATGCAGGACCTCTGATAATATTTTTCTTTCATCTACTTTTTTTTACTTAGAACATCTTGGCCACTGTGAATGCTCATATGGTTTTCCTTAGAAAAATATTTTTCAAATCTTGCTCTTAATTTTGTCTTTTCCTCTAACACACTAATCAGCAAAGTAAGAAATGATACTTATCCTTCCTAGTAAAGAAATATTAATGCTCAAACTTTTTCTGAGTAAGCACTTGCACACACTTACAGAGTCTCAAACAGTCACTGACACACACAGAGTCACACACAGTCACATACATACACAGAGTCACACATACAGAGTCACACAGAATCACTCATACACAGTCATACACACAGAGTCAAACACAGTCGCACGCATCCACAAAATCACACACATAGTCACACACACATACAGAGTTACATACACATAGAGTCATACACACATAGTCACATACACACATAATACAAAATCACACATGGTCATATACACAGTCACGCACATAATCACAGAGTTACACACACACCATCTCAGCAGAATACACAGAATCATACACAGTCACACAGAGTCACGCACATACCATCTCAGTCACACACAGTCACTCCCTCACATCGTAAGTAACACTTATCAGTTTTATCTTCTAACATCATTGTCCAAAATTACCAACATAAACTCCTGTGCTTTATATGAAATGATACCTTATTTGAATGCTAAAAAAGTCAAACACTGCAAATACGCAAAAGAAGATTATTTGTCAACAAAATTGGACTATTAAATGCTCAGCTAAAATAAGGATGTTAGATTTATTCATCAGACCTCCTCAACTTTCTGATAATGTCCATGTGCGGTAATTGTGTCTGTCTAGTATTTTGTATGCATAAAAAAGCCCATATTAGTCACAGTTTTTATTCCATGAGTAATTAACTATTTCTATTTTAGTTGCTTTGGTGTTTTTAACTATTTTAATTGCTAAACTACATTTCCCTCCCCCTTTAAAGATGGAATTAGTTTTAATTTTTCCTAATTATCTGATATTAGGTAGATTAATGATTTATCAGTATCCTTCAGAAACAGATGTTGAGCCTATCACACATACATGCATCTCATTTTAGTATTGATTTTAAATGTCTGCCATTACATTTTGATTTTTAGCTAAAATTGATTTTACATTTTAAAGCACGGCTCATGTTACTGATTTTTAATGACTTAAGGAGTAAAAGGTTGGTGTGAGTCGTCCCTTTAACCACTGTCTTCCATTTCTTTTACAAAACTCTTCTTTAATTGAATCATTAGATTGCTAATGATTAACACTGATCTGCATACTACAGTAATTGGCACCAGAGAGTGGGCTGTTGGCTGTATAGAACCTGACCATGTAGGGTTTTGAAGAAAAGTGCAAGACTTTGGAAGGTTGAGCTAGAAAAGCAGCTGATTGCAGTAAGCAGCCCATTCTAGTAGGCGCCTGGAAGAAGTGCTGAGAGCAATGTAGTTCCAGAGGGAAATAAGGACTTAAGCAGCAATTGGGATATTTTAGCAAAGAGTCTGGCTGGAGTCTGCCCACAGCCAAAAAGCTTGCTTGAGGCTAAATTGAAAAGCCATGGACTAATTTCTTTGGTGGAAGAAACTTCAAGACAGCCTAATGTAGAAATGGTGGCACGGCTATTAATGGTGAATACTATGCAGATCTACAGTGAAAGAGAGCAAATAGGGCAGAAAGAAATACAGTTTGGAATGAAAAAGAGCACTAAGAAGATAAATGTTGGAGCCTTGGCATGTGACTCATAAAGAGATTAAAGTGATTAAGGAGATTAAAGCGATTAAGGGGGTGCCTAGAGATTCAAATTTAAACAATGGAGAGAGTGCCTCCAGGGCAAGACCACATACAGTTAAGCCTCCAACTTGTGAAAGGAAAACGCTGAAGGGGCCATGGAAGAGAAAAGCTTCTAAAATGGATAAAGCAGGCTGGAGTCCACCCCAAACTTGCAGTCAATCTTGGCAGTGTCCTTCATCTGGTGCTGGCTTTAGAGGCATGAAAGATGGAAGAGTGAAGGGGTCATCAATTCTTCCTCCGAGGTTTTAGAGAGGCTAGGAGGCCAGGCAGCTTGAAGCAGGGATTCCCAAGCTGTGAAGGCAAAGCCTGGCTGGCAATGGAGACCCCAAGAAGTTTGTGATGCCAAAGCTGTGAGGCATCTGCCAAGAAGACCTGCATACAGGGAGTGGTACCAGCACAAGAGAGAGATGTGTGTTGCACACAGCACCGCAAGAGAGGCTGAGCCATCTAAGCCCTTTGGAAGTAAAGTCCCAGAAGTTGGACATGGAGCTACTGGATTTGGTGTTTGCCCTGCTGGTTTTCGGTCTTGTTTTGGTCTGATATTTCCTTACTATGCCTCCATTCCTCCCATTTGGAATGGTAATGTGTATTTGGTTCCACTGTGTGTTGGGAGTATATAATTTGTCTTGGTTTTATAGAGGCTTACAGTTAAGATACCTGAGTCCACTTTGGGCTGTGGACTTTTGAATAGTATTGAGACTGATAATGACTATGGGGACTTTTAAAAGTTGGACTAAATGCATTTTGCATTTTATATAATCACGAGCCTATGGGGGCCAGGGGGTGGAATGTGGTGGTTTGAATGAAAATGTCCCCCATAGGCCCCAACTGTTTAGACATTTTGTCCCCAGATGATGGTGCTGTTTTGGGAGGTTTTAGAAGGTATGGCTATCCTGGAGGAAGCACATCACTGGGGGTGGGCTTAGAGAGTTCTTAAGCCTTGCCAGATCTCCAGTCACCCTCTTGCTTCCTGTGCCTGTGTGATGATGTGAGAGCTTCACTTCTGCTGCTCCTGCTCCAGCCACCTCCAGCCACCATGCCTCCCTGACACGACGGACTATAATTCCCCTGGAACTGTAAGCTCAAATAAACTCTTCCTTCTATAAATTGCTTGGGTCAGTGTTTCTATCACAGCAACAGAAAAGTGACTAATACAGTAATTGGTACCAGGAGTGGGGTCAAAGCAAATCTAGGGCCAATAAACATTTCAATCAGGCTCTGCAGTCAACATGGACAGTTGTACTCCTGTTGGGAATAGGCAGAATTCTGAACATCACTTTCTACACTGCTCTGGACTAGTTTTCATTCAAAATGAGCAAACCTGAGGTCTGCTCTCAGATTCCCTCACAGGTAGCATGCCTCCTCAGAAACCTTCTTTGATATTCTGGGAGGACACAGGTATTGTCAGTGTGCACAGAGCATCCCTTTTAAACACCATCCTAAGCACACGTGAATGCCTTATTAAAGTTATCCTCTCATTGTCTGCCTCCCCACTAGCCTGCAGTTCTGTGAAGATGAGGACTGTTTCTTTTTTTAATATTTTATTTATTATTTTTATTTTATGTGTATGAGTATTGCCTGCATGTATGTGAGTGTACCCATGTTGTACAGTGCTGCGGAGGTCAGAAGAGGGCTTCGGATTCCCCTGGAACTGGAGTTAAGGATGGTTCATAGCCACCATGTGGGTGCTGGGAATCAAACCCAGGTCTGCAAGAGCAGTCAGTGCTCTTAACTGCTGAGCCATCTCTCCAGCCCCTGAGGACTGTTTCTTAGTGCTGCACTCCCTGGTACTTATCAAGTACTGACCCAGGAGAAGATCAGCAAACCCGAACCACACTATAGATCTCTTGTTCTGATGGCCTCTGTGGCACTGTTAGGGTTACAACCTCACTTTGGACTTAATACATCTCAGTTTATGCAGCAATATCATCCTGCTGGGCAAAATGTGCCCACTGGGCAATAGGGGCATGACTCTTATGAATTGTTTTTTTTCTGATTGAATTTGTAATCTTGATCAAAAGCCCATGTATGAGGAGGTCATAGGCCCTAGGGTAGAAGCTGCCATTATTATTTTGATAAAATGGTGATGCTTTCAAATTATTTTATATGAATTTATGTTTATACCTATAGACCCGGGACACTCTCAGCTTTGGTCAGAGAATCTTCTTTTTGCAATGGACAGCAGTAGATAGATGCATAACTGGTCAAAGGACTGAGAATAAGATACTCAGTGCTCAACTCTAGACAGACATCTATATAAAACCCCCACTCTCCACCACCAAGGCTCAGGGGACATCTTGAAAGAGCAAGCAGAAGTTAAGAGCCAGGGGTTGGGGAGGAGTGCTGTGAAATGCTGTCCTCTGAAATGGCATGGCTACCACATTCATGAACTCACAGCATGTGGTTACCTACATAGGATCAGGCCAGCCAAAATTCCAGCATAGCTGGAAGGGGTAGATGATCTGCAGGCCCCACTCCTTACTGACTAGCTATTGGCAGTGGATGGTTGCTGGGGGAGGGAGAGTTATTCTTTTTGGAGGATGTGGCCACTGGTAAGTTTCCCACACACCAGTGGATGGACCCACATCCATGCCCATATGGACAACACCAACTGGTCTTAGTGGGTTATCAAAAAATAAGACATGAAGTTAGGAAGAAGATGAGTTGGAGGAGATATGGGGGTGAGGGAAATATAGGGGTAGATATTATCATTTTTATTTGTATGTCTGCATGAAATTATCAAGAATAAAGAAAAAAGAAAATTAGCCATAGGCTTTTGGTTTGTCAATGGCTAAAAAAGCATTCACATCAGCTTAAAGTTCATTCAAACAGAAGACACTTTAGA